ATATAGTGGAATGCAGTGTTAGTTTTACGCCAGATGTAATGGGACCCATGTCATCCAAACATTTCCACCTTTGACTGATCAGTCCACAGAATATTAACCCAAAAGTCTTGGGGATCATCTAGATGTGTTTTGGCAAATGGAAGATGATCCTTTGTGATCTTTTTGGTCAGTAGTGGTTTGCACCTTGCAGCTCTCCCATGGATGCTTTTTTTGCCCAGTGTCTTTCTTATCATGGAATCGTGTGCACTGACTTTAACTGAGGTAAGTGAGGCCTGCTGTTCTTTAGATGTTCATCTGTGTTTATTTGTGACCTCCTGGATGAGTCATTAATGCGCTCTTGGTAAAAATGTGGTAGGCCGGCCACTCCTGGGAAGGTTCACCACTGCTCCGCTGTTTTTTCCGTTTGTGGATAATGGCTCTCACTGTGGTTCACTGGAGTCCCAGAGCTTTAGCAATGGCTTTGTAACCCTTTCCAGACTGGTAGAGTTCAGTGATTTTGTTTCACATCTGTATTTGAATCTCTTTAGAGCGTGGCATCATGTGCTGCTTTTTGAGACCTTCTAGGTTGCTTCACATTGTCAGGCAGGTTATATTTAAGTGATGTTTAGATTCAACAGGTCTGGCAGTAATCATGCCCAGGTGTGTGTAGTGAAATTAAACCCAATAGTTAATTGAATTTAGTTGGTTTAGTAGCTAAGGGGGCAAGTACTTTTTCCACATTGAGCCAGGTAAGGCTAAACAGCATGTTTCCTTCAATAAATTACAAAATCACTTAAAAACAGCGTATTGTGTATACTTGGGTTATCTTTGTCTCATATTAAAAGTAGTTTCATAATCTGAAACATTGACGTGTGACAAATATGCAAAAAATAGGATAAATTGGGAAAGTACTTTTCACAGCATTGTACAGTCGTCCCAAAAACTATGTGGACAATTGAATTGCTGGTAAACAAAGTAGTACTTGAAAAACACTTTTCACACATCAAACTGATGGTAAACTCTTTATGTGGAGAAAGGCTGGAAAAGAAAGAAAATAACAGACTGCACTAAGAGTACAATCAAGCACAGGGGTGAAAACATCAAAGCCATTAACTCAGAAGAGTACAAAGGCATTTTGGATGCAAACCTGCAGAAGTCTGCAAAGAAACTGCTCAAATGACAGAAGTAAATCTTTCAGCAGCAAGTGATCTGAAATACACATTTCTTTTTTCCTCAATAATTAAATACATTTTACCTTAAATTACCTAATTTTTTCAGAGTACAGCATAAATATCAAAATATTCAGTTGAAGAAACTTTTTGCATTGTACTTTGTCACACCCAAAAGTGCGCAACTATTGGCAAGAAGTTTATAATGTAATATCCAAGATTCATTGAATTGTTTTTCCAGCAGATCCAAAGTTTTGTCTTCTGGGTGACTACACTAATTCTGATCTCAGAAACAGAAATGCTAAGACTTACAGAAATCCTATTAGTGATTTCTAAAAAGTTGCATTAAAATGGAAATCAGAGACTCGCATACATATTGGAATGTGGATGTCTGAAATCAAGAGCTGCTTACCATTAGAAAACATAACACACCACCTAAAGAATGAAAGTAATTCACAAAACCTGGCAACCGTTTATTGATTATATGAATAACATGACATCAGACCAGATCGATTATCGAATACATGAAAACAGAACAAAGACAATATATTTAATGTTTTAACTACTTAATCATGCTCCAAAAAAAAGAGAGAGCACATTTTTACTGCTCCATCACCTTGCCTTTTAACAACGTTCAGTAATCGTTTGGGAACATTGCAATTGGGAGGACACCAATTGCTGCCGGTGTGAAAGTGGAATTTTTCCCATTCTTGCTTGATAGAATACTTCAGCTGCTCAGTAGTCCAGGGTCCCTTGGTTGTATAATATACTTTATATTGCGTAGACCACAGACAGGCCAGTCTGGCACCTGCACTCTCTTACTCCAGTCACACTGTTGTAACACATGCAGAATGTGGCTTGGCATTGTCTCACTAAAACAAGCAGGGAAACAAGCAAAAGGACGTCTAGATGGCAGCATATGTTGCTCCAAAAAGCTTATGTACCCCTCAGCAATAGTGCCTTCACAGATAAGTAAGTCATTAGCACAAACACCTGCAGTACCATGCTTTGATGGTGGTGTTTATGGATGTTGTTAATAAATGCTTCTGCTTTGAATAATAGAGTCTTAACTTGCATTGTAGATACAGCAACAAACTGTGTTTACTGACAAAGGTTTTCCAAAGTTTTCCTAAACCTGTATGGTTTTATTCACTATAGCGGGTATGCCAGTTTATAAATGTAGTGCAGTCTGAGGGATCAAATCAGTCAGTATTGGTTTTTGGCCTTGCCGTTTATGCAATTATTATTCCCTGAATCTTTTGATGATATTCTGCACCATAGAGAGCGAAATACCTAAAATTCTTGCAAATGCTAATTGAGGAACGTTGTTCTTAAACTGCTGACACATTTTTGAGCAAAGCGGTGAGCCTTCTTCATAAAGGACTAGGCCTTTTCTGGAGGCCTTTTATACCCAAGCATGACTGTTTCATGTTTCAACATTTTACAATTTTTACACTTTACAAATACACAAGTTTTAAATTGTCCCTGTACCAACTTTTTTTTGGAACATGTTGCAGGCACCAGTTTCAGAATAAGGATATATTTACAAAAATAATGAAGTTCAAAAAGTAAAACATAAAATATCTTGTCTTTATACTGTTCCATTTACATGAAGGTCAAAGTGAATTTGCAAATTACTGTATTTGCATTTTACATACTGTCCCAATTTTTTGGAATTGGGATTGTGTAGCCTATCACTAAAACCATTGCACATTATGTGGTAGGTTCAAGCAGCAAACAACAATGCCATCAAAGTGTTTACAGATACAGTTTCTAACAGCAAAATGCTGTAAAACCCTGACATTCAAACACAGATCGATCACAAAACAATGCACCAAAATAGACTCAAAAACGGGTCAGTTGTCAGACATAGAGTCTATTTAAGCTTCGTCTTGGACTAAGAGCCACCAAGGGAAATAGAACCTGACAGCTCTACTTAATCCAGGATTTGGCTTAATCTACAAACAGAAGCCCAGCCTTCAGAGTATTTGAACTAAAATCATTTCCAATTGACAGGGAAGCTTAATTATCCTCTGCATTTTTGGCAAGTCGTGCCTCCACAAAATACAAATACAAACAGATGAGGCAAAGATATATACGAGGACGGAGCAAGAGAGGTGAGCGAATCTCTTTCACTCTTTACCCAAAACCTTTCTCAGCCAGAGCCTGACTCCCTGCCTATGCTGGAGAATGAAGTGAATAATTCCCTCTTTAGTGCTGAATAAGTCAGAGTGGCTAGAAGCTCAGTCTTCTACCCTACCCTCCCTCAGTGAGGCTTTTTAAATTATGGATCCTCAATACAAACAGTCCTCCCAAGAGCAAGGGAGAAGGGCTTCTCACAGTTCTCCAGCATGAAATCCTGGCTTAGATCGGAGTTATCATCTGCATATCCCACCGGGCTGTCTCAGTGTGTCTCCGAAGCCTCTGTATACCATATGATATTGATTAATTATTGACATGCATACCATGCAGCTGCATATTCAGATATACACACACATATATATATATATATATATATATATATGGAGAAAAACCTTAGAATGGTTTAGAAATGAGCCCAAGTCCAGTCTTTCAAATTAGACAAAAATATGTATAAGAAAAAGGCTCAGAAATCCTCATTGCTTTTCAAAAGATCCAGTATTATCTTAACATCTGAATATGTTACTGTAAAGGATTATTGAAACCATGTTAATATTAGTCAAAATAGAGAAATCTTAACCTCAACGATAGCAAATCATGGCACTGGTGCAAGCACATTAATATTTAGCCTTGCGCAGCATATTTAAATTGCAAACGTGATCAAAACAGTTGCACTTCACAGCCCTTTTGTAAGTGCTTCCTCTGTTAAGATGTAAATCAGATGGCCCAGATTCTTGCTCCAACCTAAGTCGCAACACAGAGACAAAGCAACAATGTGGACTCTCTGGAGGTCCCTGAGAACCAGTTTGAGAACCACTGATTTAGAGAACTATTATTGTAAATAAGATGTATAAATGTAAAAGAACATTGAAAACCATGTCGGGAAGACCCTTAATTTACATTATGTGAAAGTTCTTGAAACTTTTGAAAGGTTCTCCACACTCACCCATTGTGGCATATTAAGCCCAGAGGCACTGGGCTTGTTTTGTGGATGTGGCCCACAAAACAAGCCCAGCAATCCAGCAATCCAATACACCCATTGCTTTAACATGTCTTCTTCAGTGAAATAATTCTTTCCATACAGATCTGTCTAAGTGTCCAATAACGGGACATGTAAAGCAGTATGCAAAATTTTGGGCACCCCAGGTCAAAATGCATGCTTTGTAGATTTTCTAAGTGAAAATAAGCTAACAAATCCTCTAAAGAGAACACACTTCAATGCACAGGTAGTACCTTTGCTGAATTTAAAAATGTCCTATGCAAAATTTATGGCACATTTTATATTTTATGTTTTTTTTCTATGTTAATCTCTGTAAATAAAAAGCAGAAAATGGCTAAAATCAGCAGAAAATGACATATTTAAGTTGGTTCCAGGTAAAGAATGTGTTAATTTCAATCAACAAAAACAACAGGGTAATCAAGTTAAGTCTAGTGTCGAGTCATTAGTGGAGAGGTTTAAGTCTAATGTTTTCAAGTCCAAATTTACAAAGTTTACAACTTGAGTTAGGCCTTTTGATCCTGCCCAACATCAGAAAAATAAGCAAGACATGCAATGTTAGGAAATACATGTGCTAATCCTCATGACAGCATCTGGACGTAACAGATAGGATAATTTTTTCAGACTCAGACACTTGTTAGGTTCACATACGAAAACAATACATTGCTAATGAGGTTCACATACCAGAACACAAAAAAGGCACTTGTATACAAAGGTAAACTAAGATCTTGTTTATTTTTTTTTTGCTCATTTATATATAGATCTATGTTTTATTTTTCTACATACAAGTCCGTTTATAGTCATCATGCTGGGTGCAGCTTCAGTGGAGGAGCTCATGCAGGTGGCCCGTGTATGGATATTACAGAGGACACGCAGGAGGGAGGGCAGGGTGGGGCGGAGCAGAGCGGACCGCACCAGGCTCCAGCGCCACTGTGCCCCACTGTATAGTCACCGAATCACAACACGCTCAGAACAGGGCTGGCCAGGACCAGAGCAGGAGGTCACAGGTCAGAAGTGAGTACTTTGACTGAGACATGGTCCAGTTCCAGAACAATAATAAAAAATAAAAAGGTCCATCTTGGTTGGGACTGGGAGTTGTTTTCATGACATCATTCATTGACATCTTGGGCAGTTGGTAAAGAACAGCAGAAGCAGGCATCAGAAGTACAGCTTTGACAGTCGGACACATACAGAAGCGAAAAGATGACTGGTGTCTCAAAGAAAAGGAAACAAAAATAAAAAAAATCACCCCATATCACCCCACTAATCCTCTAAACCCTGCTCTCTCTGCAGGCTCCAATCCAAACTAAAGGGTTTTGAAATATTGCTAATAAAGTACACTGAGAATTTTTAATACAGTATTTTGTAAGCATTTTTATTTCTTTATTTTTTCTACACTGTGTTCAAGTTCAGGACGGAATGGTTTCCATTTAAGAAAAGGTGAGCCAAGTGAACGGCCACCAGAAAGGTGCTGGTCTGGTCCCATTAACACAGCCAGCCTTCATTAATCAGCACAGGCTGGAACAGCACAATATACATTGAGGTCAAAGCTCGACAAGGACTCTTTCTCCCTCTATCTAGATCAATGTGCCACGTATATGGTCAGGAGAACCACACTGATGGGGTAGAGCCTGGGGCCAAGACCAAAAAACAAAACAAACACGGGAAAAAAAAACCCTAAAATTCACTACAAACTGTCTGAATTAAAGAAATCTATGTTATGGGAACAAGTATTTCTTTTTTTGTAGTTTTTTTCTTTTCCAGCAATTGTGGAATTGTGTGTAATGAGAAAAGTACATTTTCAAAAATACGAGTAATATATGCAGGGTGTCCATGGCAACAACAGAGAGGTTCACAATATTTACAGTTGTAAATGAACAGGTACAGAAAAACAGAGAACGGAGCTGTTTAGATCTCACTGCAAAACACAAACATATTCATTTGTACTAATTAAAAATATATTAGTAAATGAATATACAAAAACAATGATGACAAATTGTATTATGCCCAACAATCTTTGCACTAATAACTTGCTTTTTTCTTTTTTTTTTTTTCAAAAAAAATAAAGTCTCCATTTTGTTCACCTTGAAAGAAAATAGCCAATAAAATGACATCATCTTTGGTGAAGATTCAACAGCAATCTCCAAGTCCTGTTGCCATGACATCTCGACAGAGTGCCGGTTGGGCTCAGCAGCAGGTGCACGCGCTCACACACACACACACACTCGTACACACACGCACGCATACACAGACTCACCCGGATGGGCTCACCGAAATTAAATTAAACACCGTCTTTACACTGCTGTGTGAGAGAACTGAAAAAGTCCAGTAGTGATGGGCCAAAGAGGGGCTGCATGAAACATCTGATCCAGAAGTCATCCAACAGACTCATCAAACACACACCTGCATCCTGCAAGAAAGAATCAGCACTGCAAAGTGATCCAAATTTGAGTTACTGTACAGTGCTGTGCAACAACAGAGACCACCTTTTATTTCATTTCCAGTCAAAATGGCCATTAAATACAAGTTATTAATTTTTCATCATAAGAAAAAAAAAGCAGAAAACATTTAACTGAAAATTACACAGAAGCCTGAACAACAAAATACAATATTAAAAACTCTCAGTATTCAGTGATTCCACTCTTTGACTTTATTACAGCTTCTGTTTTTTCGAGAGACTTGCTTTTCAGTTTCAAAGAAATCTGCAGGAATGTTTTTCCACACCTACAAAGTTCAGTCTTAGAAGTTGGTTGCACATTCAGTGATGTTGAGATCTGGACTCGATGGCTAGTCACTGTTCTGAGAACACCAGTATCTTCTATGTTTAATTTGCCAATTTTCACATTTCTGTCTAGTTCCTTTCCTCTGACAGACAGAAAGATTCAGATCTGAAGCAAGACTGGAGCTCTATATTCTTCTATCTTTCAGAGAGGAAAGATTTAAGTGCTGTTTATTTGATGGTGACAGTTTTGTTCGTCTACCAGGTCTTGCATGGTTGTTAGGAGTCAAATTTTTTTAACTCTAGTTTTGAAACTCCTGTTTTTTTTAACTGTTTTCTTTTGACTTTTCACCTATTTATGCAAGCGGAGTGTCTTATATCTAATCTCAGAAATATCTCCTAAAAATAAACAACTTGCACTTAATGGCAGTTTCAACTGGAAATAAATGATGAGTGGTTTCTCACTTTTGCACAGTTGCAATATTGTTTCCTGTTTGCTTTCATCGATTGAAGCTGCTGCTTTATAAATCCATGGCAGCCTATGCCTCAGATGGACTTCTCATTCAGCGTACACTGTGACAAGTGAGTCTTTGTTTTTTTCTGGGGGGCTGATATACTCAGTGCCCACTAAAGAAAGAAAGAAAAGATCATTATAGAAAACATGCCCCCAATTAATACAACTTCAACATCCTTATGAGTCAAACATGCTGCATTTTGCAGGCTGTCAATCAAAAAGAGCTCAAGCTTAAAATGAGCTGAAAAAAGTCTTTAAAAATGTAGCTCTAGACTTCAATCCCATGGATACAGCAGAATTCAACAATATGAAGCAGTTTGTGCCCGAAAAACACTGGCACCGAAATCTCAGCAACCCATGAGGATATAGGGGGTGAGGGGGTTCCAAGTGGCCCCTGCAAACCATCCACTCATTCCATGCAGAGAGATGGCTTTAAACAAGAAACGTGCACCACTGAGAAACATAGTTGTTCCCAATCAGGGAGGAGCATACTAGAATCATCTGGTTTGCGATTATGGCTGTGAATGTCAACTTAAGGGTAACAGACATTGCAATAGCTAAAAGGGAGATGCTATAAAACCTAGCTCCCTACATGAACGTGTTCTCCATGCAGCTTAAAAAAGTCAATACATCATTTAGTAAAAGTACCTAAATGCAGAGGTGACTCTTCTAAAATGGTCAAAAGAAGGCAGCTTCTTAAGTCTTCTACATTTTGCCCAGTAAAAAAAGAGGGGCAATTTTTCAGAGTGATGTGCACTACAGCACACAATACAAACATGCACTGGAGACATTATTGGAACTGAAAGCACCACGACACATTGTTTAATGAAAACAATGCACTTCGGCTGCATCAGTGATGCACAGGAACAAGAACAAGATCATTTCATATTTCGAAACAAACGCTTCATTGAACGCTTCCTTCAAGCGTCTTTAAAAGGATACCGCAAGCTTTTAAGGGACCAAATGCACGTTTCCATCTGAGGTCAAATTAATACGACGCGAAACGTTAAAGAACAATGCTGTTTACTAAAACTACTGTAAAAGTGTCTTGACAAAATACATGGGGAGGGTAACATAAGAAAACTACCTACATTTGAAAAATTAAAAAAACGTATTGTACTCTATACCATCTAAAGGGGATGGAATAAAACAAAATCTAGGGTGGTGCTTCATATAAATGGTGGTCTTCTCTTGAGCACAGGTGTTCTGATTAGGAGCGACGCTCTACCTAGTACCTTCCACTGTTGCCTACGGGCATGTGGTCAGTCTGAGGCCTCTGACCTTGAGCGTGTACTCTTAATCCACATCCGTTCCATCTTAAAACATAAAGCTTCAGGGCAATAAAATGACAAACACAACACAAAACAAGACCTCAAAAGGACTTTGTTTTCCAGTTATAAATGACAGTATTTTCTACTATGTACTGTGAGCTAATGCCATTAATTCCAAAACAAACATTTGTTTAAAAAGACAGACTAGTCCTACATACATTACAAATTAAAAGGCAAATTCATGTCGTCACACACTTGAGGAATCATAAGTGATGAGAGCAGAGTGGGACTAAAGGGCTGTGGTTTGGCTGGGAATAAACACAGTCAAACGCACACAGACACACGCACGCACACACCCACAGGCACACACACACACACACACACACACACACACATCAAGTGAAGTATCAACGGCTGGTTGTAGTCATGTCTTTCAGATCTCTACTCTGTCCCTCTTGCGCCCCCTTCAGGAGTTGAGTGAGAACTGGTCCTGTTCTATAGGCTTTTTCACCCAGGCACCCAAGCCTGCTTTCTGGAAGGCCTTGATGAGCGTCTGCTTGGCAGTGTGGTACTCCACCGCTGCCTGTTTGGCTTCATGGTACGAGCTGGGTTTGGACACTTTGATCCGCAAGGTAGGTGACAGCTGAGGAGAGAGAGCAGATCCAAAAAAAAGATGACAAGGCTTAAATATGCCTGTGCTACAAGTCACAACAGCTTTACAAATACCTTCTTTTGTGTATGTAAACAGAACACATAGAGCTAGTAATACTAAACTGAGACTAATAAGGATTGTCAATAATTAATCACCAGTGACAATACACCAAATTAAACCATGCCCAGGAAACTGAGCATAGTGTTGATTTCTCAATGCAGGTGCAGTTAAGATCTTTCTATTGTGGTCCTTAACCCCTTAACAAGCCATGGGCCCGCCGGCAGGCCCAAAGTATTATCACACACTTCTATAATCTAAGAATAGCTCAATCAGTTTGCACTGAAGTCCCTGTAGCTACTGAATAAAAACCTTAGTTTGTAATAAGCCTGGATTGTTAAGGGGTTAAAACAGGGGTTGTATAAAAAAGGCATCTATAATCTTACAGGCCAGTTTTAATAATCTATAGTTCCGGTTTAAAGGAGCCATATCCTACATCGTATATGTTATTTTGACTTAGAATAGAAAAGAATAGAATAAAATTTTATTTGAGGTCCACTTTTGATGTTTTAGTTTGTCTGGATATCAAAAACATTCATTTTTACATGGCCATTTTCCAATCACACTTTACGCCTTAGAATTAAGCAGGCTGTGCTTTAAGACTGATATATGCAAATGAGTTCTGTTCTCATTTGCTGCCTTGTACTGTGCCTTATTTACAGAGCACTGCGGTCCAAAACACTCCTTATGACTTCAATGTGAATGGGTGGAGCTAAACAGTAGGCTGAATAGGGGACATATTTGAATGTGTTGGTTTTGGTGACATAAAAAACAAAGCATTTACAAGCAGAATTTCAAGGTCATTTTCTATATATAAACTGATGGGGGCGTGAATGTTTTGAAACTTATATTTCCATACTATATCAAACCCTTATTAAAAAAAAAAAGTATGGTAAGTTAAAATTGCCCTGATATGGACTCTTTAAATTACACTTTTCAGTGTATAGCATGGCTTAATTTGAACCTGTCGCAGCGTGAACTGTACCTTCGAGTGCAGTCGAACCCAGCGGCTGTAGAGGGCATGCTTGCAGAGACGTGAAGGCCGGCCCATGTCGTCTTTGCCTGTGGTGGCATTAATGACCTCCAGGCTCTGGTCTCCCACAGCCCAGTTAACACTGAAGTTAGGAGCCTTCCCTGGTTGCCGTGCCTCCGCATTGCTGATTCCTGCCGAGCACACAGACGAGATGGTGCGGTTCAGCCAAAGTAATTATTTTGTGATCAATAAGATGAAAAGGGTCTCATGCATCAGGCAGAGACATTTCAAAGACCCGAAGAACAAGAACATCGTTACTGCTCCAGAATAAATGTCATGTACAAGCTGATCTTTTGAAGTCAATATTAACAGAATATTTCTAGAAAATTTACAGAAAATCCTCAGAAGTTGAACTGTCAGATGGTAATGAATTTCTGTAGCACCGCAGACTAGGCTGGACTGAGTGAGGCATGAGGAGCTGGAATGATTTACAGCACTCCGTGTGAAGTGATGTAAGCCCTTCTCAAAATCTCTAAAGCGGAAAAGGTTAATTGCCCACCCCATTATCTGTCTACCTGCAGAGCTGGAGGAGGAAAGCACAGGGAAGACAAAACGAAAGGGAGATGTAGTCAGGACACAATTCAACCGAAGTGCTGACAGGACCATTCAGGACCATCCAAAACTTTCCTCCTTGTTTGCTCTTCGGGATGTACTCAGTAAGTTCTAACACTCACTTGAGAAACTTGTGTTTCTTATGGTTATTGGCTGTTGTAACTAGAATAAAGCTTGAAATATCTGTCTGAACCCAACTGCATTTCTTACTCGCTTGTGTTGTTGAGAGAATTTAGCAGTGAGGTCCATCAAAATGGAATGCCAGGTAAATAAAAGGCAAACTGAATCAGGAGAGAACAGTTTAGTGAAGCCAAATGGATGTTTATATTCAATTTGTTTGGCCAAAAATAAATATTTATGTTATATGGAACATGTTCTATGAAAGCATTACTTGATGAATAAATCCAAGTGAAATTTAAACTAATTTTTGGACAGCTTAATATTTTCTTATACAGTTGTATGCAAAAGTTTGGGCGCCCCGGTGGAGGACCAAGTTAGCACATCCTCTACAGAGAGCACACATTTTAATGCTTAGTTAGTGTGTATTGGTTGAATTTGATTGGAAAGGCACATTTTAATGTTTTTTTTAATATGTTGAACAAATACATAAAATGTGTGCAATAAATTTGCAGAAAAATGCTGTATTTAAGTTTAATCCCTGTAGAGCAGTGGTTTCTGACTCCTCCTAACACACATGATCCAGTTAATCAGCTCAGTGTTCAAACTTTATCATACAACTGTATCATACTATTTTCTATTACTTTTTATTTAATTTATCTGTGAACTAATGATGCATTTAGAATTGATGCTGAATCTTCATTACTACTTTTAAATCTCCTAATGGTATAGCATCTACACACATCTCTGAATGCCTGATAAACCATGTTCCAAAATGGTGCCTCAACTGCTGATCATCCACTGCTAGTCTTCTCCATATTCCTCGCATGAAACATAAAAATAGTGTTGAATCAGCCTTTTGTTTTATGCACCAAACATCTGGAACATATTACCAATAAATATTCTTCAGTCTCCTTCTATTGCTGACTTTAAAAAAACAGTTAAATACATACTTCATCGCTTTTAACTAACTGTTATTATATTAGTGTTTATTATTTTATTTTTACTGCCATGTTACTTTTACACTACTATACTATTTTTAATGTTATCCTTAACTGGTGCCATTTTTAAAAGGTTTTATCATACACGTTGGGTGATGTTTTGGGCTCGGTTTCAGACTCAAAACTTGATGATGTGGTTTGGATCGGGTCAGACTCCGGCGCAAAGTTTTCAGGACGTAATCGGGTCCAGACCGCAACTTTAGACCCGATTAAAGCTTTAATCTGAATATGAATGAGGCAACACACTACCAACTTTAGCCTTATAGCAAGCTTTAGAGAAGGGTCACCTTGTTTCTGTTTAAAAATCAAAAGAGTGTCCCTTTACTTGGGAAAAGTTGAGTGGCTTGTGTTTATACAGCAACACATTTATACTCCCAACTCCCATCTCATCACTTATCAAATAGAGACTTCAGCTAGAAGGGATAAAAACTCCTGGGAACCTGATGTAACACACTGAAATGCAGTGTGAAATAAGGTGTGTGGAGTGTGTCTTATCACATCTAAAAAGGGATGACCTTATAACAATGTGATTAAGGTGACGTATTCTACAGATGTTAAGCAAATATCACTTCAAAAAGAGCCGGGAGAGAAACCAGGCAGGGATTCTAAAATGCCACTCAAGTCTTTAAACAGCAGGCCCTGGTGTTTGCACACAGCTTTAAAGGGATGAAACGTTTCTTGCTCTCACTGTTAATAAAAGTACAGAGAACAAAAGAACAGAGAGAGTGAGAAAGCGTGTGTATATGAGCAAGAGAGAGACAAAGAATGACCAGCTTTAAACTTGGAACACTGTACTTGGAATGATGTACTTAGTAGTCATGCCAATAAAACTACGCTATATGTCCAAAAGTTTGTAGACACTCCTGGTTTCCATCCAACACTTCAGCATCATTAATAGGAAGTTTGGCCACCTTTGCTGCAGTAACAGAAGGCTTTACACTAGATGTTGGAACATTGCTGTGAGGATTTGACTGAATTCTGCCACAAGAGCATGTGTGAGGTCAGGTACTGATGAGTTGTTCTCAATCATATTCACCACTCTAACTCATCCCCAATACACTGGATGGTGCTCCATCAATCCATGGAATGCAGTTCTATAAACTCAAAAGCAAGGGGGCTTAATACCAATCCAGTCAAGGCTTAGAACTGGGGGAGTTGACTCCTAGATTTCAAGTCTCAGTCCTGGTGAGCACAAGCTCTGTACACTTTTGCGTCTTCCCCATTCTACACACCTGACCCAGACCATGAGTAATTTGTTGAGTTGAATCTGGTGTGCTAGATGAGGCACAGTACAGAAATGTGCATACCATGGGGGCATCAGGACTGGCATAGGGAACACCCATCTGATGCTCAAGTTCAGCTTTTCCAGAGTGTCACATTCTACTGGCAGTGCTTTTCTACTGAGAGTATATTTCCTGTGTGTATCAGCAATAAGCAAACCATGAAGCAACTGAATTGACTAATTGGAAGAGATGTCTGGATACTTTTGGATATATAGTGTATCTTAACTTGAACTGAAAACTGATACTGAGAGGAAAAGTGGGTTGGCAATTTGAAGTTAAGAACATTTGCGCCGTCTTCTGTAAAGCTACTATTTTGCTACTAATTCTTTGATCTGAACTAAAAAAAAAAATGAGTGAGAGAGAGTGTGTGAGGGAGAGAGTGAGAAGGGGGGTGGGAGAGAGATAGAGAAAGAGAGGGAGAGGGGGAGAAAGGGAGAGAAAGAGAAAAAGAGGAAGAGATAAAGAAAGGAATGGAGAAAGATGGAGAGGGGGCTAGAGAGTGAGTAGGTGAAAGTGAAAAAGTGACAGACAGAAAGAAAGCGAGAGTGTTTTATCGTTATCATGATCATTTTTGTTAGTGTGATACGCATTTCTGTGTATATAGTGGATATCATCATTACTTAACTGTGTGTTTTCATACAAAGCGAGCATAACTAGTCCTGTTTAACTGGGTTCAGTGCAGTGCAGTGCAGTATGTGAAATGTTGAATAATAATCACTGTATTCATAGTTTTTAAATGTGACACTATTAGCGCATTTTGCCTGTGTTTCAAAGTATCATCATATGTACCGTAATATGCTATTTTTCCCGTATCGGCCATCCCTAAGACTAGTGCATCAATTAGGCCAAAGATTTCAAGTTAGAATTAGAAGTGCAGAAGCCATTCTTGTACTCGTACTCGGATTTGCTGTAGGAGAAAAAGCAGAGATAGAGAAACTGGAGGGGTTTCCCTCACCACTGAGCAGGGGCCGGTTGAGGGTGAACTGCTGGGGCAGGTCCTCGATGTCTGCGATGCGCTGGTACATGGCCCGAGAGAGATGATCAGCGTGGTACAGACTGCCCAGTATGATGCTGGAGAAGTAGATTGGCTCAGTGAAGTAACTCATCAGTGAACCCTGGATCCCCACTACGTTCCACCTGCACCAAACACACACAGAGACAATGGAGTACAGAGACAGATCATGAACTACAGTGTTAAAAGACTTCTGCTTTGCCTGAAGCGTTTTCTGTGTTTGATCTAATGCACTTATGTTTCCTCTCATGGCTTCTATTAGAGTTACTATGTAAAAGAGATGAGCAGGTCGGAGGGCACAACACAATTATGGAAAACACCACATATCACATCTTCAGGAGCGGCTATAGTATAATCTTTAGGCTAACGTGGGGAAGGTATTAAAACATGGCCTGAAGAAGAAGAAAGAAATCATGTATGGGAGGAAAAAAAAAATCTCTATCCAGCAGTTCGGGGCTTGATGCTTTTTGTTCGCTCAAGGTACAAGACGAACTGATTCATTAGTGCCGTTCTTCCGTTCCCCCCTCAATTTGGGCATTCACAAGTCCCAGACTGCCCCAGCGGTAGTCCACCCTTCTGCGGAGCACAATCAAAGGGCCTAATCAAGACCGCCTCTACTCCCCCAAACAACACCTGCTGCACAGCCATGTCGCCAAAGCGCACTCAAGTGATTGGAGCTCTTCTGTTCAGCACGGCCAATCAGCCGCTTCAAACACCGGACTGACTCAGAGCCTTCACTCCAGCTATTGTTAACGTGGCGACTTCATTAAGGCCTGGTTAAAAGCCTTCTTTCCGCTGTTCTTCGCCTTTAAGGCTGGCCGTTTAATCAAAAGGAAAGCGAAAAGAACAGTGAATTACAGATGAGCTCGAGATCAAGCGCCGCAAGCGACTTTTTAACTAAAAAAAGCTAGCAGAGTGGTTAATAATTCAGTGACATGGGTGGGTGGAAGACTTTATCCAAAGAAGGAGCTTGAAGGAGGAGAAAGAGTCATGGTGTGCAGGGGAGCCTTTTTTCCTCCCTTAAAATCCTCCTCCACTCTGAAACCCTGGACTATCCACTCTGCTACAGCAAGCTACCCTGCTGGCACAATCTGGCACATGCCAGAGTAGCTATAGGGAACTGAGCAATCAGTCCAAAAGTCCAGAGGAAGTACAGAAGCTGAAGATACATAACACATCAGTAGTTCATTTACGTTCATGTGCAGAAGTTTGAATATTCTTGGTCAACTGATATGTTTTGTTGATTTGATGTTGATGATAACTTTTTCCATATTTTTTCAACATGTTTAATTCAGCAGATAAACAATAAGTGTGCATTAAAATGTGCAGAAGTGTGGTCTCTGCAGAGGATGTGTACTTATTTTCACATACAAAATCTACAAAACTTGTCATTTGACCAGGGGTGCCCAAACTTTTGCATACAACTGTACATGTCCCACTATTGGACACTTAGAAATATCTGTACTGACAGGTTTGGTTGTTTATTTATTTATTTTCAACATCAAAATCAGAGCTAGGGCTATCGATTATATTAGTAATAGTAATTGAGTAATCTACTGTTTATTTTGAATGATTAGTTGAGTAATCAAACAATATATTATAACAATTTACTACAAACTATGCAACACATTTCATATGTTCCAAAATACTGAAAAAGCTAAAAAGGAAACCTTCAAAAATACTGTATATATAGCTGCTGTCGGAGCAAAACCTTGTGTCTCCAAAATGATAACTTTACAGGAGAAGGAAAAAACCTGCTTTCCTTTTAATGTAAGTCAATGGAATATATACATACAATAAACAAAAAACAAATATTACTTCAATGCTGCTTTTGGCCATTTCAGTATTTTCATGAACTGGAGAACACAAATTTAATCAGTGATTAGTACTTAATTTTAACTGAGTAATCATGACAGCCCCAGTGGCAGCATGTCAGATGGTCCTTGGAAAATCACTGAGAGAAAACAGCTATAAAAATGACCAAGGATGAGTCAAGGTTTTCTTTCTTTTGAAAAATGCGTGAGGAAAACACTACAGAGAATCATTAGCAGTACTGAAGAGATACTGATAAATTAGACATATTCTGCTGCACTGTCTTTTAACCAGGTGATGCACTGTCACACTGAAAATCATGCATCATAAAGCCTGGAATCCAGATTCACAACACATGCTGGTTATGTTGAAAAATAACCCTATCCAGCGGGGGATGATGGCACCTTGAGAAATAGTGCAATACGAGTGATGAAACGCCACTCACTGACAGCTACCCATCGTTCAAACTCTCACGGCCATCTTCCCTTAGGCATCAGTTACATAAGAGACTCCTGTTGCAAAAGTAAACCACAGCCATTATCAGTGCCTGTTCTTTCCTTATGACAGCCAGTTTAATAGACTAAATGAGAGTGAAGACAGATAGTGCTGGAATGATGATGAGGCTGGGCTGAGAGTGACAGTGTATGTGCGCGTGTGCGTGTGAAGGTAAATAGATAAGTAGGAGCGAGCTGCTCTCTCATCAGCTGTGACAGGGCCTGTGCTCTGCACACACAGCTGCCTCCGACACCTCCTTATCTCCCCACTTACAGGCGTCAGCGGCAGGGGCGGACAGCACCTCAGCCACTCCGAATGACTACACAATCCCCTCCCTTGAGCCGCTGCAAGCCTGCTCCTGCGCTAACATTCAACCAGTGCTCACAATTCCTGAAAGCTTTGCAGCGTAATATTTGCTGCAGTGAGGGAGAGAGAGCTGTCTCTCAGAAATACCCAGATGTATTTAAGAAGTGCAGTTACACTTTATTTTGTTGGTTCCCTATGACTTATATACAAACGCTCAATTTGTTGTCAAACTACCAGTTAAAAGTTTGACATCACTTGAATATTAAAGGAATGGTTTGGCAAAAAATCAAATTTACACAATTTTCCACTTACCTAAATGTTGCGTGTTCGGTGTCCAAATTTGGCTTTATCAGGTTTGCACTGTAGCTACAAGGCTAACGTTAAACAACAATAATGAAGCTTTATTCATTATTATAGTTCACTGTGTCTTAAACCACATCGACAAGTCTAGGCAAACTTAATGAAGACCCGGATTTGGTTTGAGCAGGTTGAGAGAAGTTTGGGAGGTTTGGGTGACTACTGAGTTCTAGTGTGTGCAAGCAATGCCAGCCTCATAGCTCCAGTGCTAAACTAAAGATGCAAAATTTGGCTGATCGACAACATGTGGGGTAAGTGGAAATGGTGTAAATTAGATTTCTGCCAAACTATTTCTTTAATAAGGCGGCACAGTGGCGCAGTGGGTAGCAGCGTGACCAGGGTCCTTTCTGTGTGGAGTTTCCCCATGCATGTTGTCCCCATGTCTGTGTGGGTTTCCTCTCATAGTCCAAAGACATGCAGTCAAGCCAATTAGAGTCATGGGCTGGAGGTTAGGGAACCAGCCTTGTGACCGGAAGGTTGCCGGTTCGATCCCCTCAGCTGACAGTACGTGACTGAAGTGCCCTTGAGCAAGGCACCTAACCCCCAAATGCTCCCCGGGCGCCGTGGATAGGGCTGCCCACTGTTCCGGGCAAGTGTGCTCACTGCCACCTAGTTTGAGTGTGTTTATGTGGTGTTTCACTGCATGGATGGGTTAAATGTGGAGGTCTAATTCCGATGTGTTCAGACACAGTTGGCTAAAAGGTTCATTTCAATTTCAAAAATAAATTGCCCCAAAGTGTGAGTATGTGTGTAAATGTATATGTCTGTGTGTGTCTGCCTTGCAATGGACTGGTGACCTGTCCAGGGTGTTTCGGTCCTTCCACCCAATGAGTGCTGGAAAAGGCTCCAGCACCCCCACGACCCAGGAGGATAAGTGGCTTAGAGGATGAATTAATGAAAAAAATTTTAATAAGTGTTATTTTATGAAATGATAAATGTGTAGACTAACAAATAAACTAGACATCAGAAGGTATTTTTCAGAGTTTTCTTGACTATTATTCTCCAAGTTTTTTTTTTAAAGAAACAACCCATCATTACCTATTTACCTGTGTAATATAATATTTACAGCTATTTATAGTAACTCAGTGTTCAAGTTGCCACAAGATTTGATCACTTTTAGATTACAGGCAATCTGAACAATACTATTTTTTCAGTTTAAATAATTAAATAATTCTACATGTTACACATCTGCGAATAATTATGCAGCTACATCATTTTCTATTTATTTATTAGGCATCTACAGCTCTGTTCATAATGTTTTATTGCTTCCTTTAAATCATTGGACTACTATCACACCATCACACCTGCAGGCAGGTTACTAGCATTACCTTCAAATCATTTTATACAAGTATCTGCAACAAAACTGTTTTTGTATTAGTGAAACCAGTGATTCTAAACATTTGAATGGTAGCGAATCTGGTGAAACTTAGTTGATTATCAACAGTGCTAAGCTTAGTATTAAGATTAGGGTTACAGAGTTGGGTTTGAATAGTGAAAAGTTAAAGAGGGAATCGCACAGGTTTTTCAAAGTTTCTCCATAATTAAGATGCAAACCAAGTCATTTAGAGAGGTCTGATGTGAAACACTCCATTCTAGAGAAACTTACCGAGCCAGAATTATTCACAGTGGTGGTGATAGAAATCAGACATCTGAAGCATTTAATGCATCTAAAAGCTCACTTATAAGAAGTTATTATATGTAATGGTTACGAACATGCCTGATGTCTGAGACTTTGTTTTATGATAGTTTTATGATATGAAGCCTGAAACATATTTTTCATGGTATTCCATTTATGCTGGGCGTTGTACCACTATTTTACTATGGATCAATATAAAATTTAAAAACTCTGAAGACACATGCAGGTTTACTGCTTATTCAGCATAGTAACTAAAATGGTTAATTATGCTGATACTCTGAAAAATCTGTGGAATTCCTTTTCAATATAAGAAATATTGAATTGATTGCAGGTTAAAGACAAGGTAAGCATCTAGACTGCATCTAGAGTGGAACATCAAGACCTTATTTATGAATTCTATTAGTTTACACCAAAACCTGCAGACTTGCATGGGTGCGAATGCTTTGCTTCGTTTGTGTGCACATGTGAGTTACCTGGCAATCTTGTCACTGCAGGACATGGTGAGGAGTCTTTCTCCCTGCAGAACTCCATCCCATGTCTGAATGGTGTTGCTGGAGCGCACTGGGATGGTTCCTTCTCCAGACTCGATCTTAGTCCTCAGCTGACCCCGAGCTTTTCTGTTTGGGTGTCTGTCTCCTTGGTCTGATGATGAAGGAGAGAGCAGTTAGCCAAGAATTCCAAACAACAGGCTAATCCATCACCTCTCCATTTGTTAACATTAGTGAACTGGCAGTGTAGACAAAGAGCTTGCTCATTTACAATTTCTGTGAACGTGCGGAGCGTGCTGTTCTCGATGCACGTTGGAGTAATTGTGCGTCACACAATAGGAAGCAGTTGAACACACAATGATTCACACATGACACTCGCAGAGCAGAATTAATCAGATGCAGAGGGGGAAAAAGAGACAAAGCTAGCTAATTAAAAAGACTGTTGAAATTTGTTTTCAAAACACGGCCAGACAGTTGAATGAAATTCTAATTAAACGAGCCTGATCACATGGGGAAAACATCCTAAGCTTAAATGAATTCAATTATTAGGCTTTGATAATTAATTTCCAAACAAGGGGTTGAATAAATCATTTTGGAAAGCTGTCATCCAGCTAAGGGGAGATGAAAGAGATGTCATGTTCTCATATCTTCTACATCCTGAGTATGTCTAACACAATCAGGAGCCCCTCTGGACCCAACACGGTTTAACACTAGTCACAGGCCAAGCTCACAAAGCTTTCCTCAGTATGATCAGATTACTGCTCTTCTATCACTGCTGTCATATGCATTTCATATATGATTCTAACTCCACTCTCTGGTGCAATGCAAAGGAAAATGGGTTCCTCTTCTGAGTCTTAGTTTCCTCAAATTCATTGCAAGATTTTATTCTCTTACTGTTGCCATCGGCATCCTCACTAGCAGAATATATGAGTAATTCATTCTAACCTACTTTGTAAGCTTGACTATTGTAAAAAATAGTTAAGCATCACATACTGGCAGCTGATTTGGCTGTATGCGAAAGTTTTAATGCATGATTTGCTGAATTTAATATAAATAAATAAAACTTGGCATGTTGGGCACATAAAAAAGTTGGGCACACTTTCTCTTGATCCTCTAGAGCTTTTTTTTAATTTGTAAGAAGCTTATTTGACTCATTAGGTCTTATTCCAAGTCAGGTGTAGACAGTTCCAGAGCATAATAAATGATGTGACTCTTCAAACCTCTCAGGCTGTTCTGCTTACACTAATCTAAGCAGCTGACTGAGGATCTTGTAACTAAAGACAGGAGAACTGTTGACGTCAAGACACAATCTGAAAGATGAGGGAAAAACCTCCGAAAAAACGCTCGTAGACTGGTCAGGTATGCAAAGCAAAACCTCCACATTGTTGACAGTGTAGTGTTTTGGGACAAACGTCATCCACACGGAAAGTTTACTAAAGGTAATTAATTCTGATCTCATCATAAAAGTCAATATCTCAAGCATGTGTTTCACTTAAGATGATAATATGGAAGCAGGCTATCATGCTCCAACACTCTACAACATCAGGCTAGATCTGTTGCAGGATTGGATTGGATTCATTCTTTTTTCCCCTCTGATATCTAGCATTTTGTGATGACACTGGCCTGATACTGAGACCTGGTATCAGATCAGTGCAATCTCTACATCAAACAGAACCATTCTGGGTCCAGCTCATCTAATACGGTGACCAAGAGGAAAATCCAATCAGGTAGTTGTGTATGCCATAGTTGAACAATATGACAAATAACCCTCAGAGGTCACTCAGTGGGGACGACTCATTCTCTTTAGTTTTAGTGAATAATAACAAGTAAAAGAACACTGTGCTAAGTGATATTTCTGTGTATATCAGCAGGCACTTCTGTAATACTTCTAATGCTCTCTTACCCTCAACGCCTGCCTCATGGGGGGAGAATATGCGAGCGTCCCCACATGGCGATGTGCTGATGTACAGGTGAAACTGAACGTTGTCTTTCAGTCTGTATCCATGTTTCTCACACCGTGTAAAAATAGACTTCTGATGTTCCTCTTTGTTGTTACTATGTGGAAGAAAAAGGTTGTTTTTTGCTTTAAGTACTTACAGAATGGCTCACAGAACAGCTGTGTTATACTCTGATTGAGTGTAACCCTGATGTAGGGGTGATATGGCAGAAATATTATATCACAATACTTCAAGACATTTTCACGATATACAATATGCATCATGGTATTTAGCTTTTCTAAGATTTAAGAAGTTGGAACAGACAAAATAGAACCTGTAGTGCCACTAATAATAATAATAATAATAATAATAATAATAATAATAATAATAATCTTAATAAACATACAACTACAATGACTTTTATTCAATGTTTTAAACTGTGCTGCACTGAATCCATTTAAACAGGCTTATTATGCTCATGTTGCAATGAAACAGACAATATCCACAATATGTTCAGAAAAGCGTATTGTGACAATTTATCATGATAACGGTAAATTACCACATTGCCCAGCCCTACCCTGATGTACAGTATAAACAAAGCGATGGCCCAGCTGTTGGTGTTTCTTACCTCAAGAAGAACTCCAGCTGCATGTACAGGTATCGGATAAGTGAACGGCGGGCGATGATCTCAGCGTGGCAGTCATTAAGCGCCAGGCCACGATCACTCATGTACTCTCCATTGATGCACTTGGTTCCCGTGGAGACACAGATAACCTGGGCCTCCTTCACATCAGTGCCTGAGGACATAGCATTGAGCATAGCTGGGACACCTGCCTAAAAACTACTGCGTCAGCATAACTGTGCTGAACTAGCATCAGTCTTGCTGTAACCAAACATTTATCTGGATGTTAAGGGCAAAAACTGGTCTCAGAGCAGCTCTCTTAGTAACACATTCTTAAATTGGGTTAAACTGGGCTGGAGAAAACCTTTGGTTTATTTGAATGACAAGTAAACCTGAGCTCCAATGTTATAACCTGATAGAAATGTAAATAATTAATACAATCTTTGTGAAATTCAACTATTCTTTATGATGAACCACAGTGACAGATAAATCCTAGATAGCTACACCACTCCTCTCTTCTAATGTTCCATGATTAATCATTACTTTGATGCTGCATGTTTACATAGTTCTTTATGTTTCAACCTTCACATATCCTAGATTAACGCAGTAGTTTTTCCTACTGTAACATTATATCTGAAGTAATTTCATCGCAGAGGTATCTAGCCAGAGTGGTCACCACTGAGGTAGCTAAATCAAGTCTGTTCACATCAAGTCTGTTCACATGAAAGAGTGTGTTGTACACTCATTTCATGTGAACAGACTTCTATTAACTTTGATGCCCAACACCAATTATGGTGTATGCCAGCTCATCACTGCTAAATGCACTCAAAAATCACCCCTGAACCTAGCTAGCCAGTTGCAGCACAGATATACAGTACTGTGCAAATGTTAGAGACAACCTTTCAATGACCCTTGTTTAATTTCCAGTAAAAATGGTCATTAAGTACAAGCGTATCCAAGTTACTTTCAGGACAAATTTCAGAGGAGATTAGATATAAAATAATTCATTTGCATAAGAAAAAGCCAAAGCCAAAAATAAGTGTAAAAATTACTTCCAAAAGTAGAGTTAAAAAATTACTATCATTATCAAAATCCACAGGTGTTTCTGTCCATCCAACGCTGGACAGAAACTTAACCCTGCGGGTCTGAAAGGATGTAAGCTGTCAAGAAACGGTTGAAACTGAAATAAAAAAATAGAAAATCTGCAAAGCAAACAAAGAAGCTGCCGTTTCTCAGAACAATGGACTGGCCAGACCTCAGTATCATTGAATGTGTTTGGGATTACTTCGACGGTGGGACCAGAAAATGAAACTTCTAAGACTGAACTTTGCAGGTCTGGAAAAATATCCCTGCAGATTTCTCTGAAAAACTGAAAGCAAGTCTCCTGAATACAATGTAAGCCATAATAAAGGTAAGAATTGGACACACTAAATAATGAAAATGTTAGAATTAAATTTAGCTGTTAAGGCCTCTGGGTAATTTTGTATTAAATATATTTTTCTGCTTTTTCCAGATGCTCAAAAAATGAATAATTAGGAACTTAAAATGAAGGGTTGCCTTCGACTTTTGCCCAGTACAGTCGATATAGCTAGGTCATCAACTCTATATAAACTGAACAACAGTGATACCACACTGTTGGCACCCATGAAAGAATCTCCTAAATCCCAACTGAATCCCTGATTCTCACCTACGAGCAAATGATTACCACTCATCAGTTACTGACATGCCTCGACTTCTGAGATCAGGTAGATTCTAAAGCTGGTTTCATACCTTAGACCCCTGATCTTCAAGCATCGTCATGTGAAAGCTACACTGACCATCTGACCATCTACAAATGAACCATCTACAAAGAACACTTGTACTCATACTTCCGGTGGACGCTGCATGAAGATCAGCAGTGCTCTTAAGGCAGATGAGCACTGCCTGAGATACATTTCCTCAGAGAGGATGGAGAAATATCCAGCCTCATGTGTTCGATGGAGCATGGAGCCACAGCCTACCTGTTGTCATGACAACCCCAGCCAGAACTTTCCGCCGAGCGTGAGGGGACGTGAAGTTGTCTGTGAGCTCGCTGAACTTGTCCACCACAAGACGAGAGACAGCGTCGGCTAGCACCTGAGAGAACACACAGCCAGTTAAACCCAAAACTGCACTGACAGCTGCTGAGAGTAGATGGACATTAATGAGGGCAGAGCAGAGATCATTGTAGATGTATCAGTTTACAAAATTTGAAAAGAGGAAGGTAAGCAGAGTTTCATGGTTAACAAGACCTACGATCAAGCACCTCAGAGGGAAAATAAGTGAGCTTAACAGAGGAGTAAATCAAAAGATCTGAGAAAAGCGCTATATAAATGAAACTGAACTGAACTCATAGCTTTAAGAACACTGTAGTCAGTTTCACCTAACAGTACTGTGGAATATCCTCTTTAATTTGGTATCACCTGCCAAAAGCTTCAGGCATTTCTTTCTCTCTGACAGTGTCTTTTATCTCATACTCCATTCTCCTCTGCTAATATGGTGGAAAATGATTATGCCAGAGAGAAGTCACTGGCTGAATGGGCACAAATTAGAGACATTAGTCCAACATTGCTTCCCCAGTACTTCAGAATCACTCAGCGGTAGACAGTTAATTTGAGCTCGAAACGCAGGAGAGTGAGCTGACTTTCTGTGCTGTGGAAGAGAATGAAACCCTTCAAAACAGAAGGAGAGCTTTCACCCTGGCAATCAAGCACGCTATTACCAGCACTCACATTTTCATCCATTTACCAACCAAGCAGCAGGGGGCACCTTTCATCTGAAGGTACATTAAATAAATATTAACAGTCTGCAAATTCACTGGCCAATTACACACTGCCATATCACGCCCCGAGAGCAGGAGGTTGAATTAAACAAACTGGTGACAGGCGTATAAGGTAGGAACAGCTGCGCAAAGAGAGCAAAGCGAGACTTGCAAGAGAGATTAAAAAAAGGGGCCAAAAATAAATAGCACATTTTCAGTTTGATGGACTGCCATTTCATTGACCGAGACTTCCGTCTGCCTGCATCTGCACACAAACGCATGACTGGTGCAATCAGTCGGCTGATGACAGACGCCACGTCCTACTAATAGCTTTCATCCTAGCCACCTTCTCGCCATCTACCTAAAACAAATTTACCCACGCGCCCGGCTGCTGCACAAAGCTGGACTGACAGCATGTTAAATCCTGTCGTTTGGGCTGAGGGACGGAAGGGGGGGCTCCGCTAATAGAGCTCTGTGTTCTCGGCTCCAAGCCTGTCAGGCACGCAAGCAGCCCACGAGGCATCAGTGCCAGAAACGGAACCTGACAGCGCTGCTCTTCAGCGGACAGGCAGCAGCCAGACTGCAGCTAAACGCTCTTGTTTTGACACGGTTCAGAGGGAGATGTTAATTAAGATTGGGCCAGCCTCGGTCCCCGGCCTTATCTGAAAGCAGGATTAACAAAAGGTTTAGGAAAGGTGTAAATAGCTGTTTTTCCCCTCCACAAACACATGGGACTCCGCTTCTTTAAGCCACCTGCTTCATTTCACTGCCTTTTTATCATCCATCTTCCTTTTCAATTAGGCTTCAGGCCTAATGAAGATGGGCATAAAGTTATGGTATTGTGTTAAAGAATCAATCACAAAGCCTTTGATAAAAAACGTATCTTTGACAAGTCTCCTCAGAGTTCAGCGCCATTAATCAAATACTATGGAGTGGTGAGAGACTGATTCCTCATTTCTTTGGATCAGTTCTCTAATCTTAAGACGTCCGATATGGCTACGCTTTATCTAGCAGTCAGATCGGGGAGGTGGAGAAGGATAAAATAAAACCGTTCAGAAGGTTAGCTTTAGTTCAACAACAAAGCGTTATCATTCTGGAAAAAGCCAAGGAAAAAGTTCTGCGAGCCAAAAACTTCGTTACATTTTGAAATGTATTAACATTTTGAAATCAGATCCCATTAATGTTGTTCAGTCTATCCCCCCAGGCTAGGAAAAAAGCCCCTTTTAACCATAACTTAGCTGGTACACAGTTATAAATAAGTAATGCATCTTCCAGAAAATCCAGAGATGGTAAGAACTAGAAATGTAGCAGTGAAAAATACTTTCATGGATCTCCAGCAGCCCTACTTCTCTGGCATGAACAACAAACCCATAATAAAGAGAACCAGGAAGATAGGAGGTGGGATGGGTGTAAGGGTGGTTTTGGGCAGGAATTAGCATAACGTTTTGAATGTATGGCTATCTGTACTTAATTTCTGTTTACTTACTCAGGCATTTAAATAAGGCATGATTTGGTGTGATTTGGAATTAAAAAAAAAAAAAATAGATTACAAAAAATTTATTGAGTAATTTTTAAGTATAAGTTCGAGACACAAGCAGCTGATACTAAGTCTTACGTTAAACTTCTAAAAATTATGCAAAAATGTGGCTAATTCTGTAATTTTATCTACTCTTTTCTATTAATAATGCAATTTCTGAATAATGAAATTTCAGAGATTTTAGTTCAGTTTGTGTCACTTTTTGCTACCTTTCTGAACAAGAAAACAAGAGTAGGATACATTTATGCTCTATCATTTCTCTCATTTAACAAATAAATAGTAAGCGCATACCGATCCAAGTTCTGTTCTGAATGAGCCCACATACTTGTTAGGAAAAAACATGGAGCATCCAACAACAAAAGCTGCACCATGCATCTTTTACACAAGGAGAGAAGACACTGTTGTGCACAGGAAGCTCTGGTTGTCAATGGGGATGTGGCTCCTCTGGCTGAGGAGTGGCTTTATTTGTTCCTGGTAGCAGCCTTGTCTGATTTATGTGTTAGGTAAAATAGCCACATCTAAGTAGAGCTATAGGTCACCTTGAAGTGTGTTAAGTTACATATGCCTAAAGTACCGGGATAAATCTCTAAATCAACTAAATGATCAGGTCTCTTCTGCTAGCTGAACACAACTAACAAATGTTAAGCTTCGCACATATTTGTCTTTTATCCATAGCTAACATACGTTCCCCTTGAGATATTTGAAGACTATTTGTTTAAAAATGTACATATTCAAACAGCAAAAACTGTTCAAATGCAAAATCCCCATTACTATCTTTGCTAGGCTCGTACCTGGGGCAGATGCAGCTGCAGGCCCTCCCTGGGAATGGGCTGGCGGGATGGCGTTTGGTCCAACTGCATGTTGAAGAGGGCAGACAAAGCAGCCTGAGCAGCTCGTGCCTTGGCCAGCTTCTTGTTCCTGCCTGAACCCTCGAAAGTCTGTGAGTCCACAGTCACGGACATGACAAAGTTCTTGGCATGGCTCTCGCCACTCTCAGACACAAACTCATACTTGAGGCCTGGACGCAGCTCGTTGAGGATCATCACAGGGTTCTTGCCGCTGGAGGAGGAGCTGAAGGTGGAGGGAGGGGGCAGTGGGGCCTGCGCCAGGCTGTTAGTGCCAGCCACTGGGGGCACCGGGTACTCCCCTAGCGGGTTTAAGGAACCGTTGCCATTGGAGCCCAGGTAGAAGGGGTCCTCGGGTGGGGCAGGTGTCTCAAAACCATTGAAGAGCATGTCAGGGAAGTCGGCCTGGTCCGAGGTGAAGTCCGTGTTGACGGTCAGTGTGCGGCCCATGGCCAGATGGGCCTCGGAGGCATTGGGGAACTGGACGAAGGAGCGCAGAGCCTTCTCAGCTGCATTAAGCTTGGCTTTCTTCTTGGTGGGGCCTGATCCCTCAAAGAGCTGCCCATTGACCTCCACGGTCATGACGAAGACCGGGGCATGCACCGGGCCAGTCTGGGACAGCAGCTTGTACTGCAGGCCCGGCTTGATCTCGTTCAGCTGCATGAGGGCGTTCTTGGGAAGAACGGGCCCTGGGGTTTTCTTACGCTTCTTGGGCCTGAATTTGGGGTGCGCATGACCATTATTGCCCTCCTCCAGGGGGCGCTTACGCCCCCCTCCTCCGCCGCCATTGGGGAGCTGCTCAGGCATGCCTGTCCCCTCCTTGGAGGAGACGTTGTCCAGGTTGCGGTTTTCCTTGACGTCGGTGCTGCAGGAACCTGCGATGCCCAGAAAGAGTAACTTACAACGCCTTCGTTGCAGGATCTTGTAAATGTAAAATTTATAGATTCCTTTATCTTTCTTTGTAACTGAACAAGTGATGTGTGTTCCTTTTTGATGCTGAGAAACTAGGGCATAATGATTTTTAAATCAAGGGACACTATAAGGCCTACACAGTGTCAAAGAGTGACTCTTTTCATAGTAACAGAGTTACACACAGTTAGGCAAGATGATGAAGTAGACCATTCTGAATTATCATAGTTGTTAAACTTTAACTAGAAGTGGACTTCTAGTTCTAGCTTTGGGATGCAGGAGGTGGCTTTTATCCAGCTAGAAGTCAATTTTACTGCATAAGTTTATATCATGGCAAAAATGGGTGTAGCTGTAGTTTATATTGTATGAACAGGTTTGAGTCACTTACCCAAGTCTCTACCTCAGTAAGTTTTCTATATAGCATTCTAATGCATTCACAGAGTCTCTCTTATCCCAAACACAAAGCTGCTGTACTTTCCAGAGAAAGCAGAGATATGCAAAACATTCCACAAAAATAATGTGTATTTGGATTAGAGGACATTTACATGTTAATGCATGATGTCAGTCAATTTTAATATGTTAACTGAGAACGGCACCTGAGAAAAAGAGAGAAAATGTTCTTTGAACTTTAAACGGACAGAACGTGGAACACACATCATTATGCCCTGTTGACAAAGCTGATGGAACTTTGGCTAAATTTTCATTTATAACATCCTGCAGCAAAAGCTCGCTAGGTTACTCCTTTCGGCGCTCAGGGAGAGAGAGAAGCGTTCGTAAAGAAGAGGAAGAAGACAGGGTCAGAGGGAGGGAAGCACTGCAGGATCATACAGGGAACAAGGCAGCGAATAAAGAAGGATATCAAGATAAAATGAAAGAAAGAAAAATACAGACAGAAAGGGAGATAGAAAGAAAGAAACATTCCAGATGGCATCCATTGTTCTCTCAGTAACTCCTTCACGATGCATATGTGCACATACACACACACACACAAACCGGGTGCGTACCTTAAACGAGTTCTCATCTCATCAACACATCTAATTTGTGGAATCTGACATTCTGCTTTTTCTAGTCAAAAATACATGTTGATGCAGCAGAGTGAAGCTGTATGTCTGCCCCAGATATGCTGCACAGGGAGCGGAGAAAAACTCTGACTCCTAAAGATCTAACGTCTGTAGATGCTCCTCTGGGCCTTCCATCCACTTCAAAACAACATCGAACCTTTCGTTTTACAAAAGCAGCCAATATTCATCATCAAGCTTTTGCATTTTAAAATGGAGGACACATCCCAAAAGCAAGCAGGGAGAAACCTTGGAGTTCGCTAACTAGTTTCAGGACTACAAAAACTTGCAGCTTTAGGGTGTGTGTGCGAGAAAAAGAGAAGTGCTCTGAAGGGATGGACCTACTTGTCCCATTAAACCTAATAAGTACAGCCTATTTGAAGTTTTCTTTGAATTTACTTAGATGTCAAGCTGTTAAGCATCCTGACAGGATCCTGTAATCTCTAAGAGAAAGATTTGGAACAGTGTTTCCAACAGAGAGCAGAGACTAAGAACAAGAGAACAACAAAAATCTCTGCAGAAAGAGAGAAAAACAATGGAAATGACACTTAAACCTTTAATGCCGAGCCAAACAAGAGTCATTTTTTATCTACCCTTCTCCATTGACAACGTAATTTCTTTATGCTGTTGTTGCATTTAGTGTGGCATGTAAAGAACATGATCTAACATGAAAATTTGCATTGTTTTTCACTTTGTGTCATTCACATTTTGAACAGGTTATTCCAACTGCTGAAGCATTTTACGCCTTAAGTGAACATGCATGCTTTCCAAATACTCTGGCAGATTTTAATGTGTTAAAGAGGACACTGCCAAAATCTGAGAATGCCTCAGCAATACTAGTTAGCTCTGATAGATATCACTAGCAAAATGTCAAAGACCATTATAGGGCCTCTGACCATAAAGCTGATACAAAGTAAGCACCCAAAAACACTCTAAATTAGGGCTGAATGTGACTAAAATAGAAAATTTGATTTAAAATACGAACCATCTTAGCAACTAGTTTGCAAAGAAATTAACAAACAGGGCATCCACAGGTCATTATAAAGCCAAGGTCAGCAGTCTAAACATTGCTGTTATTGATAATGTTCAGACAATGAGCGTGAGCTATTAGCACTCTCACTTTTGTGTGCATCATTGAAAAAGAAGAAACCCACACCAGCAGGATCTAATGAATGCATGTATGTTTGTAGTTACAAATTACACATATATAAAGTAAACTTATATGCTGTCTGTTACAAATTATATGTATATGAAGCAAAATTAAATGTTTTCTGATACAAATTGTACGTATAAGAGAATTCAAAATGTACATGAAATTTTGTTTAACTAGGTGTGTACTGGAGACCTTGGCAAACAGGCTATCAGACTAATCTAACACTATTCAGTTAGGCTTTACTAAAGAATTCAATGTAAAACTGTAACAGGCAAAGTAAAGAAAATGCCACTTGAATGTTTATTACAAGCTACTTTGATTAAGTAGAGCTGACCTAAGTAGTATTAAACCCTGTGTGGAAGTGAATGCACACCTCTGTTAGCTTAGCGCAAACACACCAGTGAAATTCTGGAAAGGGAGATACTGGTATTAGCATTATCTTAGCTGTAGTATTTAGGCTACCTATAAGATGAAGATTTCTGCATTAATCACTGCTATATAATGAGAAGTCTAGGCTTTAAGCATTTAAATGTGGGGAAACAAAGCTTTACTGAGTCTCTCTCTGTCTCTCTCTCTCTCTCTCTCTCTCTCTGCATCCATCCTGTTTCCTGCTGCATCTCTAAAACGCTATTCAGCACAAGCAGAGTTTTAGGGCAGATTATAGGATCCAGATCATTTATGCTAGAAGAGTGCTAATTATCTCCACTGCTTAAAGACTGGTCATTTCTGTGTACTGTTAGAGCAGCACTATTAATCTAGGGTGCGTTCTGTGATTACACTCACATATACACACCACACACAAATACATCTAGCCTCGCTAAAAACCTGCCCTGAGGCAACACGCCTGGGGCCTGGACTGACCTCATACTCGCTCCTCTGGTCACGCTCATGATGGAGCAAAACAGCCATGCCATGCTGATGTGCTACTAGATTATACGTTGTTCCACAGCATGACAAGACTTGCACTTTAAATCAACAAGGGCTAATTGTAAACGTACAGCTTACACTTGTTATTAGCATAATCACATCTTCAGCTCCTTAATTAAATGAACCGCTCTTCCTTACTTAATGGGGTATAGAGACCTGCAAACAATATGACATGATCAGCATATAAATCACAATTTTCACTTTAAAGATCCATTTATAAAAAGTGTCAATGGAAAGGACACAAAATTGTGACATTGGACGGGAAATAAATACATTCTATTTTCTTTGTATCAATACAGATATACATCTATATGATGCTGTAGTCATAAAACCTTGTTAACTTTGATGTACGCCAAAGTAACTAGATCTTACTTTAGATAGCAAATAGGGAACCAGATCAGACAAAGCCATGTATCCTCTCCGAAAAGCTCTGGAATATCAAAGCAAGCTTATCCACAGAAAATCTAAATAAGAAACTGGTGCCTCTGCTTTGAGGTGGTAATAAATGACCTTGCCTGCAATTGTAAGTGGCTTTCAAGAGAAGCCTGTAAGTGACGGGACAAAGGAGAGCTCCATTTCTCCTGGGTTAACGGCTCTTCCTGGCAGCCATCTTCTAATACACACACTTCCATTCACAGCGGTGCTGAATACGGCCAACAGCCTCAAAGGTTCTGAAAGAATGTTGTCTATTCCTCAAGCCCTTTGATCAAAATCTGCCCAAATATCAATTAACTCCAATTGTGTGAGGACGACACGAGAGAGGACCCGACTAGTGAGTGATATCACTGGGATGTGCTCCAAGTCTAGGAGATGGAGAACAGTCTGAATGTTTAATTAATTGAACAATGGAGCTATAGTACAGGAATTCTACCTCTGCAAAGTTTGCTCAGGTCTTGTGAAGACCCAGACAAAACTGGGCATATGAGTATGTCCATTCTGAAAATCCTGCAGCATCTGGACTGTACTGTAGAGGTTTTGGCTTTGGGGATGGACGAAACAGGGGGAAATCTAATTGGATGATGCAACGTGAAGGGGTGTCTATAGGTGGGGAGCGTATTATGGGGCATAACTTAGGGTGTGTCATGGGATTGTGCAAAATAATATATAAGGCCATGTATTAGGCTGTGTTCAGACTAGGCAAACTTTTTTTTAGAAAAGAGCACGCTGTAGCCGTGACAACACTACTACCTTCCTTATATCCTATTGTACAAGCTTGTAGAGGGTAGAGTGCTGGTAGAGAAATTTGTTTTGTTAGTGAATGAATGTCAGCGTTGTCTTTTATTACACTTCAGTTGATGCTGCTCAGCAGACACAGTATGCTACTGCTAATGGTGCAGTTAGTGCTGTGTTCAGACTACACATCTACTGGACAACTGAAACTGTACTGTGATAAAAGCACTTACCAGATGCTTTCTTTTTAAGCAGCTGCTAAAGCAACGTCATTGGACTGCTTAATGCGCTCGGAGGAGAATGCTAATGGCAATTCTGTTACATCAGCTAACAGGCAGCCACGTTGGCTAGCATTGTGCTGATTGATGGTTGTGGGCCTTCCCACCCAGAGAGAGCGAGGCCAATGGACTCTATGTCTTGGATTGCTGTGCCACGGGGATGGAAAACTCTCTTGAAGATAGGGACAATGTATAGCTGGTTTGCTTCACTCTGGAGCCCTCAGCAGAACTTTTTATAACCGTCTGCATTTTGACTTTCCTGTGGACGCTCCCCATTGGGGATTACATGTAAAATAAAATATGTGCTGGTGGTTAAGGTAAAGACGTCTAGTGTGAACACAACCTTACGGGACTGTATGGGTGTGTAAAAGGCTGCATACAGGTATGTGTAAATGTGTGTATCACATGTGTGTGTGTGTGTGTGTATATGCAGGCTGTAATAAGTGTGTAGATTTTGGTTTGACCGTACGAATATGCGGGTGTGTGTTATTATATAAAGTGTCTGCATTATATAAAGTGTGTGTATTAGGCTATGTGTGCAGGAAAAATGTAAGAGTATTTATGTGTGTGTACGTATGAGACCGTGTGTGTGTGTGTGTGTTCTGTTATTGTGCACAGACACTCACTCATGTTCTCCTCTTCATCCACGTCCATAGTGAAGAGCTTCTGCTGCCCCCGAGCCTGCCGCGCCCCAGCTATGCCTGAGAGAGAGAGAGAGAGAGAGAGAGAGAGAGAGAGAAAGAGAGAGAGAGAGAGAAAAAGAGAGAGACAGAGAGAGAGAGAGACAGATAAGAGGAAAAGAATGAGAGACAGAATGAAAGCGAAAGAGATAAAATGAGAGAAAGAAAGATAGTATGACAAAGAAAGAAAAAAGAGAAAGACAGAAAGAGAGAAAGTGAGAAACAATTGAGAGAGCGATAGAGAAAGAATAAAAGAGACAGACAGAGAGGTAGACAGAGACAGAATGAGAAAGAGAGAGAGGGAGAAAGAAAGGGAAGAGAGACAGAGATGAAATGAGAGAGAGAGAGACAGAGAGAATGAGTGGGAGTGAAGAATGGGAGAAAGAAAGAGGGAGAGGGAGAGAGAAATAGAAAGAAAACATATTACCATGACATGCTATCCATTTCAAATAATTCCTCTCACACATACACACGCAGGTCAATGTGCTGGTCAGTTTCAGCTTCAGAGAGAAGCTCCTGAGAGCAGCAGTGATGGAGCGAAAAAAGGAGAAAAGAGGAGAGAAATGGAGCTGCGCTGACTGCGAGGTTAAGCCTACAGTAAGTGCATAAATATTCAGCAGTGGAGACTAATCTTGGCGAGGGGGGGGGGGCTGAGGGCCGCGCTTGACAGGTCGTAATAGCAGGAGCAGTCTATTGTGACTTTAATATCCATTCGATTGGACCTCATTTTCAGCTGCCTTGCGGGAAAAAAATACAGCTATTGACAACAACAGGCTTTTAGTCCCCCGTAACACAGATTCTGCATTACCCACAGTAAAAATACACAACACACAGAGGACAGTCACATTACAGATCTTTTTCAGGAGAGACGGAGGTCAAGCACCATACACAGCTGTTCCAGGTGGATAAGGCCTGTTTAGAAATAAGTGGCCAGTGGAATTTCTCTAGAGCTTTTAGGGTGTCACTACTGATTATATTAATAATCGAGTAATCTACTGGATTATTTTGATAATTCATTAATTCAATCATTTTTTAAAAAGGGCCAAAAAATTGACTTAACTGAACATTAACAAATCATGTATTGACAATAAATAATTTATTTAAATAAAATGTAAAAATATACATAAAGTTATGTATATAACTACATGACAATATGCTAATACTGTCTGAGCATATCGTGGATATCTTCAGTACACTTGACTTGCATGTTTCATTACACAGAGCACATAATTAGTCCTGTTTAATTGAATTAAGTGCAGTATGTGACAAATAACAAGGACACACAATGTCACTAATGTGTATCACTGATCTTATAAAGCACTAAAAGGTATTTGAGTGCCAACAGCTCCCCCGTCTGGAGAATCTTCAGCCTGCTAAACGTCAGAGAGTGTGTAGTGTGATGAGTTAGTGAGTTACATCATCCAAAAGTATATTTTTAGTTTTGCTATATCGCCCAGCCAATATTTAAAATAAGCATCATGCAAATTGTCAACTAATCACTGATGTTTACTAGAGAAGGTAAATTTGAACCAATTTATTTAGAAAAGCCATATAAAGCACTAAGACTGTAGAAAAAAAATTACTGTTAATAGAACTTCACTGGAAAGATTTTTTTTTTCTGTTGTTAAATGGAAAAAGGTATAAAACTTATTATTTCCTTTTTCATTTGCATTGTGAGGAGAACAAATGATACGCCTCTTCTTGAGGTTCTGGAGCTCTAACTATAAATACACAGCTAAAGGAAACAAACTCTAGCCATTTGTATTGCTCGCTCATGTTAAAACTTGAACAATGTAAACTTCTGAACATTAAAAAGATGGAATGAAGCAATCAGTAAGCTTTATAAGACCTGAGGGACTGCACTTTGCCCCCTGCCTCACTCCAAAAAAGCCCGGCAGGCAGCTGAAGGGCACAGGCCTGCCCCGCTCCAAATGGGCCAACTAATCACCGGCACTGATCAAGGAGAACTCAAAGTCAAAGTTCTCCAGTTCAGTGCTACTTATGGGATGTATGGGTGTGCTGTCCCTCACCGCCCGAGGCTGCTTTAGTTTGCATGCATTTAGAGGTGTGAGTGAGAGAGATTAATCAACATCTTAGCAGCCTCGATACAAAACCGACGAGAGCAAGGCACTCCTGCATACTTTCACTAACCACTTTATCACTGTCCACCAACAGAGGAAAGTAATTAAATGCAAGCCTCAATGGCAATAAACAATTGTCTGCATTTTCACAAGATGTGAATCACTCAAAGCAATCAGCCGGCCACAGCGAGTGACTGGAAGGCGAAGGAGGCTGGAAGTGGCCTCCTAACAGAACTGCAGTGAACAAGTGTTTAAAAGACCAGTATACTCTGCTGTGATAGCAGCTTATGAACACACGTTGAGTTTGGCAGGTGGATGCTCACGGGAGGAGGGGGAAGGACAGGGCAATGCTCCAAAACTTCGACACCTCAGAACCAGAGAAAAACAGAGCTTAAAAAATGTTACCTATTGTCACTGTTACTTTATTTATTATTTACATGATTTAAAAACACTTGCTGCCTTTTACATTGAATCAAATTGACCAACAGAAATAGTCCAAAATTACTTAAAGCCGAGTGACACAACAGTCTAAGTGGGCCTTATTGAGATTGCCAAGTTCTGTCCCCAGTGATGCTATGGCCAGCTGTAGGCAACAGAGAGAGAGCACGTAGTTGGATTGGGTGGGAAAAATGAGCCTTCCTTTTAAGTGCACTGAGACCTCCAATGATATTGAAAAGATGCAGTGATTGGCTTCATGTAACTCAAAGAAAGCACTAGCGTGGCCACCCCAGCCCTCAAAATTCCTGGACACTCAATCGGTGACTTTTTTTTTAATTAAATTTAGCAGACGGGTAGCTGTGCTCACGATGCAGTTTCAGATAAATAGATGTCAGTTCAGCTATAGAACTAAATCCTCTCAGTTCTAACACTGAACCAATAAAACACATTCTTTGTATACAAATAGTTTGACTAGTTTAAAAAAAAAACTGTTTAAACTTCATAATAAATACTGTCAAAATGTTTGGATTCCAGGAAATTGTGTCTAGCAATTGAATTATTTTTTTCCTGGATAGACAATCAACATCCAGCACAGATTGGCAACCTTAGGAGGCATGTGCTAGCCTTTACCCTCCAAGCTTTGTAGCATCAGGTGATGGGATGAGACCTATCTACCAGGTAGGAATTGGCCAAGACTAAATCAGGGAGAGAAAGGGGCTAAGCCCATAAAAACGGCATTTGCCATTTCAGAGTTAAGGCAGACTTTTCTTCACCAGGGTGGAGATTCGGCTGGGTGGGAGGTTCTGACATGATGTGATTTTAGAGAGAATGTATAATTCAGTGAACAGCTAATGTGAGCTAGTAATCGACTTTGTTTTTAGCAACTGTGAGTGACAAGTGACGTGATGTTGGCTGAGAAGCCTCCATTTAGTTTTTCTCAGAAAGAAGATACCACAGCTCGCCATCTGGTTTCTATTGGTTCATTAAACCAAGGTCTGTGAATTTGCAGGTTTAAAGTTCTCCTAGATTAACTTGGTGCAAAGCACAATTAACAGCAACTGGAAGCAAATTCCAAGTGAACTGGCTTTTTTGCTAGGCAATTTTTTTCCCGTGTTCAGTGTGATTGCAGCTTTATTATGTTTTCTTACACCAGCAATGATATGACAACATAGTAAAAAGCTTTTTCTGTAGCTGCTAACTGATATTGTCAGAGAGATGTCAGCCATGTGTGTGAGGAGCTGAGGGACAGGAGGCTGAGAGAAAGCGATTACACATGGGACAGAGCAGCTTGCGCTGATCACAGCCTTCTGCCTTTACACGCACCATTCTTCATGGCCGACACTTTCTTAAGCTAAACTAAATGGCCTAATTAATCTGGCCTAATGGTGGGTGACAGCAAATATGCTACCACAATTATTACCCTATTAAAGATTAATATTCCACAGGAAAATTGAAAAAGGGGCCGAGCAGGGAGGGGAGTTTTAGGGCTGGGGGGGGTGCTTGTCTGAACTTGAAGCCAGGTGGTGTACAATGCTTTTGCTTCCCCTCTTCATGTCCCTCTCTCTCTCTCTCATTGGTTAATGGTCTGTGCTGAAACGAGGGGCTAGGAGACTCGAGCTTGAGCTCGTTCTGTGTCTGTCGCGTTTGATTTGGCCTCCTCTGCCATTCTCTTTTTGCCCATGAATCCATAAGCAGCGCTGAGATCAGCTTCAATCTGCGAGCGCTGGAGGGACACGCTGCCCGTGGCGCTCCGGGAGGCCTCTGAATTTTTTTATCTGTGTTCATAGAGCACAAGCAAGCACAGCGGGACCTGGCGCTGCTCTTCCACACCATGAAGGTCACAGCAGACAAGGGTTCAGAGCAGGCCCAGTCGATAAAATGATAACAGTAATTATGTAAACTTTTTTTTCCAATAAAATGACAATGCTGTCCCGTTCCTCATTCCAATATCCGTGGAATTTGAAAACTTTGTCCTTTATGCTTGAACTTTTGAAAGATGGCCTCGGCAGACTAGGTGGAGATGTGTGCTTTTTTACTCATTAGACCAACTGAGAGAACAAGTCTAGCCATTCACTCATGACAGCACAAAGTAGTGGGAGCAGAACAAATGTTTGAGTTGGCTAGCTTGCTCGTGATTAAAATTTTGAAGAGTAAAAAGGGCAGTTAGCAGGTAGCAAAAAAGGTCACATGTCCTCCACAATGTAGAATTGGTTTAGTTTTCTTAGAAGTTAGAGGTATCGGTTAGATTTGGTGGGAGTTTTTGGGACCACATCATATGTCTTTAGGTATTAACATTACATGTACAGGCTCAAAGAGGATGCAGAATCAACATTACACTGATGAAGACATGATGACAATACTCATTCTTCATCACACTGACCTAGTTCTCTTTGAATACTCTTTCAACATGCTCGCCATCATCAGATTCATCTGTTCGGGGGAGAAAAAATGACCTTTCCACCACAGAGGACTCAAAATCCCCCAAAACCTATACAGTATAGA